CTGGAGGAACATTATCCATGGGGTCGCAATGGGTCGGACACGACTTCACAACTAACAACAACAATATATCTGTATCTGAAGCTGCAAAAAATTCCAGCAGAGCAAGTTAAATGTGATACAGACATTATTGACTTTAATTAAGAAAAGTGAAGTTAATAAAGAGAAAAGACACACCGGACTCATTAGATAAGCTCATTAGATGAGCTGCTGAATTCATTTGTCTTGATTCATAATGCAGACCTAAGTGTGCCTGTGTCAAACAGCCCAGTAGACATGGGGAGGAAAAACGGAGAGGCTACCATTTGTTGTTCTCTCTTACCACTAGCACTTAGCACTTAGACTTATATACCACTTCACAGTGCTTTACAGTCCTCTCTAAGTGGTTTACAGAGTCAACTTCTTGCCCCCAACAATCTGGGTCTTCATTTTGCCCACCTCAAAAGGACGGAAGGCTGAGTCAACCTTGAGCCTGGTGAGAGTCGAACTGCCGAACTGCAGCTAGCAGTCAGCTGAATTAGCCAGCAGTACTGCACTCTAACCACTGCACCACCTCAGCTCTTCCTCAGTGCTTGCTTGCCTCACCTACCTGTTCATTAAACACCTACCTGTTTATTAAATATAAAGAAATGAAATTGACATGCTGAGATGTAAAATGTCACTTTTAATTGCTGATAATTAGCTGGGAGGTTTCAGCTTTTTTTGGAAAACAAAAATGGCCGACGGTTGCAGCACAAGGTTCAGCTTCCAAGGATAAGCATGCAGTCATAAAGAAAGAAAATTACTTGTGGTTAGAGGGGGTCACAGCAAGGACCCTCACTAGGTTTCTGGGACTTTTGTGGTAGCCATAATGACAATTGTGGTCAATAACTAGTACATGGTAAAACTTACTATGGTCAAGTAATAACTTGTCAGGTGTAAAAAACACCCATGAAGATTCAATTTAATTGATTCATTGCTAAAAACCTATACACAGGAATCTTCTCAACAGCACCTGGTTAGAGTTAGATAAGGGTAAACANTTTCTATATTCTATTCTATTCTATTCTATTCTTCCATTCCATTCCACATTCTATATTCTATTCTATCCTGTTCTGTGCTGTTCTGTTTATTCCATTCCATTCCACTTACTATATTCTATTCTGTTCTGTTCTATTCTATTCCATTCCACTTTCTATATTCTATTCTATTCTATTCTATTCCACTTTCTATATTCTATTCTATTCTTCCATTCCACTTTCTATATTCTATTCTATTTTATTCTATTCTACCATTCCATTGCATTCCACTTTCTATATTCTATTCTATTTTATTCTATTCCATTCTTCCATTCCACTTTCTATATTTTATTCTGTTCTATTCCACTTTCTATATTCTATTCTATTTTATTCTATTCTTCTATTCCATTCCACTTTCTATATTCCTATTCTATTCTATTCTATTCTACCATTCCATTTCACTTTCTATATTCTATTTTGTTCTATTCTAATTTCAAATCAAGGTAGAACACTTCCAGATACTCTCGAAACGATTGACTCCCCAACTTCTAAGCAGTTGTAAGATCTCATCCACCTTGCAGCAAAGCATCAGATCACTTAAGGCTGACCTAGAGTTTTAATAAAGGAATTTGTCTGATATAAAGACAGTCCCAGGACAGCCATTTAGTTATATTCTACTTGCCAGGCTGGTTTCTCCACTATCCCCACAATGCTTTTCAGTAAGTCCACAGCTTTGTTACACTGCCCAGCATCATGTATGGCAAGAGGGACGGCTACATCAATGTGATAAACACAAATAAATAAATAACCATCTCCCATGGGGATTAGAGAGGAGCATCTGACAAGGCTGCTCTTGTAGGACTACCCAACAGAGGGGGAAAAATTAGGTGATGTTTCTAGGCATGTTGGAAGATGTTGTCCCATCACTGCTCCAGATTAAAGAAGGTTGATTTACTATCGCTTTCCTTGTGTATCCTTGGGGTCCATAAAACAATTTGGGGGTTCTTCTCTTGGTGTTCCTCATCCATGTCTCTTTCTCCTGGTGCAGATGGAATTCGACGAGAAGGAGCTCCGAAGAGAGATCAGCTACGCGATTAAGAACATCCATGGCATCAGGCACGTATTTATGGCCTCCTCGCTTCTTCTGAGCGTAACTCTAGAATTGATAATTCTTCATAATCCTGTAGAGATCCAGTAATGTGTCAGAAGCTTCTCAGATAGACATTCTAAAAGTCAAAACCAAATGAGTTAGATTCCCCACCATCAGTAGGCCGAGGAGCAGAGACAGTGCTATTATTGTAGACGTCCCTCAAAGACGGGATCAGTGGTGGCCTTCAAATAATTTAACAACCAGTTCTCT